TTATACGCATTAATATATCCTCTTGAGGTCCGCGGTCAACGGCAGTCTGAGGTAGACGGACCAAGGTACCCCGTCATTACCACGTGGTCGCAATGTGTTCTCTACTGGCCTTCCTCAATGCAAACCACAGTTTCGTTTCTTCCTTTGGGAACCGCTTATCCAATTACCTTCGATTCATTGCGAATTCCAGCGGCTGACCCCGGACCCTGCCAGAGAGTCTCACCGTGAAAATCGAAAGTCTTCATAATCACTGAGCAGCCCTGTTACTCTATCTTACCGTATAAGTTTGACAAACTTTCCATATGCATTTACGTGACATTTCGAACTCACCACTGGTGCGCTAACCCATATACATCGTGCATATCGAACCAGTTCCTGGTAGTCAATGACGAAGCCTCGGTCAAGTCCAAGGGTCTATAGAACTTCAGTACCCATCTCTGAATTGCGACATGCCTTGACTCGACGTGTCCCTTGACTCCTGACCACTAGCAAAACCTGTCACGCACGTGTTACCGTTCCTCGTAGAACGTAGAGCGTCGCGCCTCTCATATAATAAAATTAAAAGTCCCAGTATTTAAAGTATACATATTTCACGAACGTGCTTACGTCACGCGTAACTTCCTCTCTAATTGCATTAGACGAACGACCTATACTTCCTCCCCGGCCGGTTCACGTGTGCGCGATGAAACGTTTACCAGACGCAGAGAATCAGGGGTATCCGGGAAAAGGATTTCATCATCCTATAGCAGCCTGTAGCAACTTCAGTGCTCTCTCGAATGAGCCCTGGTTAAAAATGAAACCGGTAAAGCCAAAGGAAACTGTCTACCTCATCCAAAAGTAGTATCCGGCATCCGGCGAGACTGAAAAATAGGGCCTGGAGGAAGACAGTCAAAATAATCCCACGCATCCTTCTAGCCCTTGGCACCATCATTTTGTCAGGTTCGCCGCAATGGCTTCTTCGCATAACGAAACCAAGGCTCCCGTCAGTCTTCGCCCACCAGTGCAAATGCAAGCTCTGAAAGTGTAATAAGCACTCATGACGCAACCCTAGACTCGCCCACAGCTACGTCTGCATTTAAAAAGACCCTTTTGCACACAGTTCTACCAACCTACGTACCACGGCAGTGCATCCATCTCTTACGCATACCTAAACGTCGCCTCTACGACTGACTGAGCAATGGACGTACTTACCCGACGGCCACATTGGATTCGCGACATGGTCACCACCTACGGGCAAACATTCACACACCAGACCTGTCCCTAGGATCGCTCTTTTACTTGCGGAAACTTGTGTTCGTGGTCTCCCTGCTTATTAATGTCCTCGGGTTGGCATTACTGTGAGCATGAACTCCTGCGAAAGACGTCGCATTGTGCCACAGGGATGAAATCCTCTGTGGCGTTTCTGAAAAGGGTCAAACGGCGTAAGGGCAGAGACATTTATACCTATCCTTACTATGTACATTAGCTTGTAAAGGAAGGGTTAAGGGCAGCCAGCACGCGGCGTACGCGTGCAGGAAGGTCGTAGGGACACATCCGGTAGGCACTCCTTCAAGATTCTCATTATAATTTTACATGAAAGTGACTGTTTCCTTAGTCGTTTCGCATATTTTACGAAAAAGTGTAAAAGTTCCTTCCCGACGAAATCGATTGAGGATAATAAATTATCCTCTTTATGTTCCCAGGACGATATGAATACGTCTTCAACACTTTGACAATACATCGACTGATCTTCATTATCTTACTGTTTTAAATTCATAACGGTTTGATGCTGCATACAGTCCTACTTGTTGTATAGTTCGCACATTGTTGCTTAATTGACACGCATCAACCTCCGAGAAAATCGTATTGAACGATCAATATGAGTATACGTACGCACAGGAAGTGCGTCTCGGCTTCAAAAGACTAATTAAATTCGATTTAAGACCGGTTCTCATTTAGAGACGACCACAAAAAACTGCACAGGCTAAATTCGCTCGTACATATTTTCACCGTGCACTGTATACTCTGTATGCTTAATATATTATAAAACCGTTTTATCTGAAAAACAAAATGTGTAGAACCCGTAATTTTACCAGGGATCCCTTGATACTTCAGTATATCTCAAAGCCGAGAAAAATCACTAGTGAGATAGATATACTACATATGGATCATATTAATTATTACCTGGGTAATACCAAGTATAATATATTCCCACGTACCCATAAATTAATGCAATCTAAGCTCGCCCCAACAACCAGTTCGCCACGACATTACGTCCCTGGCTCAGTGGCCCTTGCATTAAGCATTGTGAAGTGTAGCTGCGGCGCCAGCATCTACAACGCATCGTACAAACCTAGCTGCCATCATAATTTTAAACCAAGGATTACGCAACAGGCTTCATTTCAAAGTATTGTATATAACGAGAAACCCCTGGATGCTGTTGCAGAGGGCAATCTGAGCACGCCCTAGCGCGAGACTCTATTAAATAAGCATCGCGCCATGTATCAGATTTTCAACCTCGTACGGGAACATCGTGAACTGCATTGCTGCACGATGCAACGAACGATGTTTGCAGCTTTAAACTGTGTTTACGCGACAGCTTTTGCGCTTTAAGAGAAGAATTTACGTTAATGCAGTTTCACCGTACTCGGCCAACCAGGTCGATTGTACATTTTCATCCTTGTATTGTAGGGCAAACTTCCGGGTTAGGTCGCAGGTTAAATCTTCGTATCTCCGTGATAATACTTTTAAGCGGAGATTACATGGTAATTCGTATTTCTTTGGTTACTCCGAATTAAAAGTGGGTATTTCTGCGGATTTAACATTTTTTAAATTAGAAATGGAAATGTATTCCCACGCCTAATTTCAAATGCAATATTAAAGGTAATTATGGAAATGGTCCTTGAATCAGGTTTACGTTAAGTCCGAACGATGCTACGTCGATGCTAACATTATATATATATATATATGCCTGTCCTCGAACTAAGAACAAGTCTTCAATTTTCAAGTTTGCCATGAGATTCTAACTAGTTCCAAAGAAACCTTGTTAACGAATTAATTTGCGTTAACTCGATCAAACTCTTAACAGACAGATTCTCCGTTTGAAGCTGGCGTCCTCATTTATTCTTACGCTCGTATAAACGGACGATGGCTCCATGTGATACGTGTTTTTAACATTAAATTCGCAACGGCACAAAGTCGGTGAAGGCGATCCGGTTCTTACCTAACTAGCTTCTTTTTTTTTTCAAATTAACATACAAGCAAAGGAGCGATCATCATCATAATAATAGAAAGTTCAATATCTCTGCGACAGCTTGGACCATCCGAAAATGGTCGTTAAAATGAAAGCGTCATTTAAATAAAACCGTGTAAGCTTTGCCATGTAATCCTGAAGGAATGAGCTATAATCAATTTTAAAATCAAAATCGAGTCTGTCATTACCATAGCCAGTATCTCAGGGTACGACTCGCTTTTTGCATTTAAATCCTTAAGCTGTCTTTCTTCCAAGCGGATATATGAATGTACCATATACATCTCGTTAATGCTACAATGCAGACTGTATTTCTGGTACGCGTTGATCGCAGTCAATGCTTTACACATCCTGTGCAAGATATTCAAGCTTTGTTAGTGAGAAATCCTTCTTCGAGACCTACAACGTAATCGCTAAAATTGCCCATCACGTCACGTCAATTTAATCAAAGATAACGTACCTCAGTGCAACAGGTTGTAATATGACGTATCCTAAAAGCGTGTATACGCGTCTCTCGAATTTCAGTACAGTAGCATAAAATCATTATAGACACTTTTAACTAGATTCTATTTCACGATTGGTGACAGATGCAACGCATGATCGTATCGCATTACACGAACGTTTACCAAAAGCATGTGGTACCACGACGCATATGTTGACGTGCTGAGTGTTATTCATGATTGTTACATCTATTCGAGAAACGAGGAACGGTAGTCCGTAGGAGACGAGTATTTGAGTAGCCGAATGAGCATGAAACTTAATAGTATCGAAGTGCATTTCCGAATATCGTAATGCAGCTACCTTAAAATGGGTAGCTCGAGCTATTCCATCGACCAAATAGTAGTAGATATAGATAGAAATATAATAGCTATGGAGGTAAAATCGTAGCAGTCGATTTCTGCTGAAGTTCCTTGGTGCGTCCTAGAAAATTGTGAATATCAAACGTGAACTTCGACGTTGAATTCCTGCTGTGAGATGCACGCGGATACGGATGCTGCTAGCTGTACAGACATATTCACATACGTGCAGTTTAGACGTACGTGTACGCCTGTTCGCTTCCCATTTCGGATATCCGGCTTAGGCAAGTGCCGAGTGTACCGTACCAGCATCAGATGCACCAGACTTCGACTCTCTTCCATACGTCGTCCATACATGCCGCAGTATTTCTACTACCGCGTATGTAAAGTTCTACGTAGTTTATTTGGCGGATCGATCCCCGTTCCGGAACGTTGTGGTAGGATATGGATTACCGAGTATCGCAAACTCGATTCGTTTGTTTTGCCGGACTTTGGCTGGACAGAGACTCGAATGCGTTATGAGGATGCCGAAGTCCCTTAATCGTAAAACATGCACGTCCTAGATGCATTGCAGTTATAAAAATTCCAAATGTTATTCTAGGCTTTAATTAAATATCTCTGAGGTTGTATATCGAGATTCTTGATTGCAGAAAATACTATTTACGATAGATTGGAAACGTGAGGTCAAGTTGAGGCGGAGTAATAAAAAGCACTTGGCCACTTGTGTCAATATGCTGTACGATATAGAGTTACTTCATTTTTATGGGACGACAAATCCATTGGGATCGCTGTGTAGCGTCGAGTTTCCCAAACCTTCAATTAATTAATTAAAATTGCTCGTCAGCTCAATCGATCCGTCACCAAAAGAGCGTCGAATTTGGGTCACTCGATTCACGTAGCATTGAAAATGTCACGCGAGTATGTCACAAAGAATAATTGTTTTTTTAATTGACTAATTATTTATATCATTTCAGGCGGAAGAGTTGAACACTATCGTCGGCAATGCGTTTCGTATGGCTTACGTGGCGCAGCTCCAGCGCCAACCGATTCTTCAGGAGGTGATCTCAGCCCAATCTTCACCAGCCTATCGCAAGGATAAACAGGAGCATCGAACCGTTTGGGTATGTTGTGTTCTCTTTTGGTACGATATCTAACGTTAGTTAATGGGGTAGTGTCCGGATGTAGCTGCTAAAAGGAAATGGAGGAGGCTGGAGGAAATACATTGGCAATTTACTGGATAGAATCGTTGTGTTGGGTCAGTGCTGCATCTGCAGGATGAGTCAGTAGATGGCTATAAGGAAAGACAGCTGAGAAAATGTTTGCTGAACTTTGAATGTCCGTTTATACAGCTCTTTCAATATTTTACCACTCTCGATGCAGTTCGTACAATTTTGAAATATAATTAAAGTCGTTTTAACAACCTGAGCGCTTTTACCATTTAATTGGGAAATAACGAGACCAAGTAGTTATACATACAGAGCATTAATAAGTCATAACCATAAGTAAATACACCTGAAAAAACCTGTCTACGGTCGCATGAGTAATGCTCATGGGTTTTATGGTTCGATGCGTCGTTGCCCCTTCCAAAGATATTCCGTCGGCTGTCCCATTTATGTGCAGTGTTAATTATAAATTTGACCCGAGCCCAGCTCCGTCGCGTTACCAACTTAAACAGTTAACACACGACAACGTGAGCGTAGTCAGCCTTTCGTAAGAAGCTTCGCTGGTTTCACGGATGGTAATTCGTGTGACCGTACCTCCCTTTCATTAACCGAGGGAATGCGTATCGACGGAATAAAGCGTCACCGTCGATCCGTGGTAACCGGAAGAACGGACCCTGCGTGACGAGACACGCAAATTGACAATAAAAGTCTTGTGTCTCATTTTGCAGAACAAACAGTTAGGAAGCGACAGTGCGATTGGCAGTAGCGGCGGCGTGGTGGGTGGCTGCAGGAGTCCGTCGTCAAATTCGTGGCTGAAAAGTCGAACGTCGCCCACGTTCCGAACTGGAAGCGGTTCGTCCGTAGCGGACATGAACGTTCAGCTCGGCAGTGCCGGCTCGCCCACGCTGCGTCTTGCAAGCGTAAAGGTATGTCTGCAACGGAATGATCATAAATCCCAAAGTAGTAGTCGCAGCTTTCAGAGAGAAAGAACGTCTGATTATTTTTGTGGATTTTACAAGGCGTGGATCTCGTACGTGATAACTTGATTACCCTTGAACGATAATCATCGTGTAATTACGGGTCACGCGAGCCTCCTGTATATTTCAGCCGGCTTAATACATAAAGCTACTTTTTTCCAGTAAACTAGAAATAAGCTTGTTCGTTTCCGCTTTGAAATTTTCTTTTTATCTTTTTTCTTCAGACACCGAATTCCATACCGGGTCTACGGCCGTCACACAATTTTACCAATGTCCTGGGACCGATCAGTAACGAGGATGGGCCAAAGAGCATCTCCCAACAGAGCACGCCGAGCAGTGATGAAAGCAATTCGCCGACGGAGCTTAACTCGTACAAGAGGTTAACAGATAAGCCGCCGTTGATAAAACGACTGGCGATGGGCTTGACGGGCGGACGGGATGTTCTTGGACTGAACGGCGAGGATGATAGCTGTCCGTTGGTTAGCGGAAGTAGCACACCCACGAGTCCAACGAACAGGCCGCATTCCGGTGGGTACATTAATGAGGCCATCATCGACTCCGAAGGAACGAGGGCGCCCTATAACAAGATCGCACCTTCGGAAAGTCTTGACAACTCCATTAATGCGTCTATCACAACGAAGAACTTCAACATCGAGAATAATAGGTATATATGTATAATAGATATATTTATATATAGATATATTTAGGTATATATAATGGATATATTTATCATTTACGTATCTTTGCAACGTGGTAGATACACTGATAGCTTCTTTATGTAAAATTGTCCAAAAAGTGTTACTACTACCTTTTCCCCTCTTTTTAAATTTAGGATAGGACATAATTCACCAAATTCAGGCACGGAAACAGAGTTCAAGTCTAAAAGAAGATCACAAATAAGTACCTCGAGTAGTTCGGTTCCTGCTGACGGAAGTACTCATGGCTCGACACCTACACCTCCGCCACTTCCGGAAAGGATCGATAGTCTAAATAACCGCAGCGAAGAGGGTGAACTACGTAAGGCTCCCTGGTTCCAAGCGGGTATACCAAGGTTAGTATTTCAGACAACTTTTCACCCTAAATCTAATGATTGAATTATGTATAGCAATGGTTCTGGGATTGAAGACAGTATTCTTATTTTTCTATGCAGGGAAATCACGCTGGAAGTGTTGAGCCAAGAACCGGAAGGAGCATTTATGGTACGAGAGAGCACTAGTAAACCAGGATGTTACGCACTCTCGCTTCGAGTACCACGTGAATTTCAACCGAGTGGAATAGCCCATTATCTAATTATGCGTACCAACAAGGGATACAAAATTAAGGTATGTGAATTACTTTGAGTGCCTCAAATCACTACTAACCCCAACTATACGAAAGACCTGAAAACTCGCTTCAAAAGACAGCTGCTCGCTAAAGGAATTACAATGTTCAACGTGTTTACCCTTACCGGAATCCTCTTGTGCTCTTTACTCTAACGTCATTTACCTTATTAACATTATGACTGCGCTCGTTGCTACTCCTACGAAACTCTACATCCTGTAAACTAAATTTGTATCCGCATACAAATACAGCATATGAGTCCCCGTTAATGTACGAGACGTGAATATGAAGTCGTATGAAGGTTTTTTTCGTCGAGATATACCATAGGGAAATCAATGCTCCCCGCTATCCATTTGACTCTCAACCCTACCGCCATTTTCCCAGGGCACCGTTTTCTATGTATAATAATTTCCGAAATTAACCTTACCGCTCTTCACATTGCCTACGTATAATACGCAGATCCAAGGGTAAAAAACCGAGCGACATAATTTCAAAAGTTGCTGATATCCAATTTAACGAATGTCCATCAAATCGAACTGCATTATTTTAACGAAAAGCTTTGTCGTCACAAATACAGACAGACGTTCATTCCCAAATTTCACCTTTTCCAAAGAAAATTTACTTATTCCAGAAACCATGCGTCAGTATAACGTATCGTGTTGCCGTCAAATAATCTTCACGTTCTAACGTGCCGATTCGTGAAATTTGTTTCAGGGATTTACGAAGGAATTTACAACGTTAACTGCCCTGATCACACATCACTCGGTAATGCCGGAATTGTTACCTTGTCCACTTTCTCTGAGTCGATACAATCCCAGCTTCGTGAAGAGCGACTCCAACAAAGATTTCGCAGACATCGACTCCGACCCGGACTACAATACTCTGGCAGATTTTCGCAAGATGATGGCCGATCTGAACGTCTAAATCTTTTTTCACTTTCAAAATTAACAAGAAACTACATGAATTTTAACGAATGAGAGGTGCGCATCTACGTGACTAGAAATTCCCTCAGAAAGACGACCGATTGTGTATTTTCATACATATTTACAGTGCAAAAAGTGTCACACGATTGTGCGCTACCCTGTAGCTAAAAGGAAAAAAAAAAAATCAAAAGAAGTCTGATGATTTCTCCAAAGAGAGAGCGTCGCCCGGTCTCGTTGAAGTACGAAATGTATGTAACTAGTATGCATATGCAAAGTGCATCACGTTTGATGTGGTGCTGGTACTGAGTGAATAGAACGATCAATCGCTTATCCGTGCGTTACGCACTTACCACTTACAATTGAGTATTCGTTATTTGAGTCATCTGGGACGATGGTTATTTCTGGGAAGACGAAAGCAGCTGAGTTCGCATATTGCTAAGTATGTGTATTAACAGACTACTCGCCAAGAAGTCAGGTATATTATGTAAGTGAATAATATCTGGGTAAACGTTAACGATAACGATACAATAATCTACACGTAAGTGTTATCCGACTTATTTGACTGCGATACACTTGTAGAAAAACGGTAAAGCACTTCCTCCTGTTACTTCTGTAATGTATGAGCGAATGAGAGAAAGAGAAATGAAGATGGAAACGAAAAACTGCGCTTTAAATAAAATCGTGTGAAAGGAATAGTTCGTGAGAAATGCATGACACGGTGATATATACTTTTAAGTCATTGATTGATAAGGATAAGGAAAGTAGTGTAGCCGATTTTGTAGTGATGGAATTCCGAGATGATACGGAACATTTGGAATGTACGTTATTGTACGTATTACAGGTCTAATATTCTGTATGATCTTGTAATGATAGTGGAAACATGAGTGAGTTGATTATCCAACACGATTCTTATACGGTATAGCATTGTTAATAGAATTTTGTTATACAACAGTGATACAGATGATATCGGTTATGCTTTTCAAAAATTCTATTGGAACGGTATTCCGCGCAAGAATCGTATAAGGGTTAGTGATGCAATAGGGTGAGAACCCTATTCGACAGATAGTCGAAAGATTTATAAAGTATAACAAAAAATTCGTTACCACTGAAGAGACTAGATACTCTAACGAACTTTTTTCTTTTTTTTTGACTTTCACTATCTGAAGAATGAGCAAATTAGCGGGAATAGAAATGAAATCGAAAGAAAATAAGAGACATTCAATAGACGCCATAAAACGCTTCGCGCGGCTCCATTGTACGTTTATCACCTCGATGTAAATGTGTTTATATGTATATAAATTATAATTATTGTTATACGACATTTATATTTAATTAGGAAGCATCGCTAAGCAGTGAAAAAGTAACGGACAGTCGAACTCGCTGATTACGAATGTAATGGCGGAATTATGAAAATGAAAAAATGAGATCTGGTGTGACTGAGAAATGCCACTATTGATATGGTACACGAATCGCTCGACTAACCTAGTCTTGTACAGAAGTTTGCGCGCATTGTTTATATATACAAATATCGAGACAGTAAATGAAAACGGAAAGAAAAGAAGCGATTTTACGAGCCGCTTTGCACGCCGAAGGATACTTTTAAGCAGTTCATATTGGTTGCGCCATCTTTGTGTGCAATGAAATGCGCTAAATATCATGCCGTATTATTTCGAGTCTACAACAGTTTATTATACTTCAACAGTGGGTTGAGTAAGTGTTTTGCAGTGAACATACGTAGTTCTTCCTACGCGAACTTTATTATAGTCTGGTAGAACCGTCTGACACGGATATATGGTGGAAATGGTAAATAAACTGTTGTAAGCTAGGCTAAGCAAGACATTAATCACTGCTTGAGGTTTGCAACGTTCTAAGAATCATTATACCGATGCGTTGTATAATTAAACAATAAAATTATTTATTACAAATAATTCTGTCTGCACTTTATTCTATCATATGAGAATTACTACGAAACCCATAGTTTCTGTATACAAATGTAGATTGTTAGTGTTATGAAGTACCTTCTTATCCTATTATGGTTAACCCATTTTGTAACAATTCCTCTACGGTGAAATATATGAGGCTACCTAGAAAAGTGGGTGTTGTATAATTCTGTAAATACCTAAAGAAATACAACGGACTTGACATATGGTGTAGTTTCACATGTGTAACTTTGAAGATAACTCATCGAATGCGAATGCCATTGTATGTTGTTCTTTTGTCGAGTGGAATTGTATTTGTTAAAAATTGTTATTATACACACAATAGCCGGTTTATTAGAAAATTTATGTTTCTTATACAATATTTTATTCGTCTTCTCGAACAACATGTCTTTCACGTTCAGATACAAATGGTATCGCACCCTTCTTAGAGTGCGCGCGTCTATTAGACTCCCTGGAACACAAAAATTAATTTATTGTACCACAGCTTGGATATCAGTTCATGAAAAACTAAGGTATTGTATAAAATGTTACATACTTCCGTTTCTGTTTGTCACGAATTGTACGCAATTCGGCTTGTGCATTATAAATGTGTTTTGGCACTTGTCTGTGACGTGCGATACGGCGTACCTGCGGGTGACTGGCAAACTTTTCTTTTAGAGCTTCACTGTAGTTCAAAGCTATCCTTTCTCTTGGTTTGAGCTGTCGAAATAAAATCCAATATTCATGTGCTGTATTTTTACAAAATAAAAGTAATTTTATTGTTGGAAAGAAAAAGACAAAACGTACCACACCCAATTTTTCTGAAGCCCGCGCCTTCCAAACACGTATATTCATTTCGTCGCTACCGCTAATAATGTATTTGTTATCCAGTGACCAAGCGACACTCGTTAGTCTTTGCATTCGTTTGGTGTGATACACTTCACGTGAGTGACCCTTACCAACTTCATAAATGCGAATTGATTTATCATAACTTCCAGCCACAAATTCTTTGCCAGTTGGTGCATAATCTACGTCTGTTACTGCCCCGACGTGATCCATATGTACGTTTACTGGAGTTTTTAGTTTTCGCGTATCAAAGGTGTATAAACTGAATGTAGTAATTAAATATTGGGATTAGTATGTAATTTACCTCAGATAATTTTACAATAAATTATCAATAAGAGAGTAGTTAATATCCTACAACTCACTTATAATCTTCATTTGCGCAAGTGAAAGAAAATGCTTCCATGGGATTCCAGGACAGTTTATTAGTACGTAACTTCATTATGACTTTCCGTAAGGGCCCAGTCTCTCTTGTATCATATAAAATAATGCTACGATCACTTGCACACGCAGCTGTGAAAAGGGTATGTAAATAATATTTCCTTAATGAAATTTAATTTAATAAACAACAGTACCTAGTAAATTTGATTGAACAGGGTTATACTTGACATCATGTAGACTGTCAACACCCCATTTAAATGTGCGTATTGGCTCATTCCGTGTTTCTTCCCAAAGTTGACATACTTCTCCACATGTAGCAAATAAGTGTCGTTTTCTATGGTGTGATATTCCTGTTATAATAGTCTGAAATGATAATGACAGTGATAATATTCAGTTATAATTCTGAACTGACAAAACTAACGCAGAACTGTACTCACTTTACTAACGATAGTTTTAATTGGTTCCTCTTCTTCGCCAAAAGATGGTTTTTCTGTTTTCCATGTTTTAATGGTTTTATCATCACCAACAGTAATGAAATGTTCTGCATTTGCAGTAAAGGCTATACCTCTAACGATGCCATCATGAGCCAAAAAGGATCGCTCACATATTCTTTGTGGCAAGTCCCAAATTTTCAGTTCTCCATCATAAGCACCGCTAAGAAGAACAGATAACCGTGCTGGATGCTTACAAATACACGAGACACTATCCCTATGACCATCTAAATTTCCTATGAATGGTTTGGCAAATACTCTTTCCAATTTGACTGCATTTAGTGCTCTTGTATATTCCCTTGGAGCTTCAAAAGGATGTAGTAGAGGGTCATAATTTCTGGGAACTAAAAGTTTCATGGAAAAGGTAACACATCATCTTCATTAAAAATCAATTATTTCACCTACAGTTTCTGCTAATAATTATTCTGAAAAACGTCTTAATTAAGCTGTACTAAAAAATCTGCCTACCTTTGTGTATGTCTCGTTTAGTTTCCCTCAAATATTCATCAGGATTTCTTGTTAATACTTTGACCTTCATTTCTTCAATGATTTCAATTAACTATTCAGTGTGCAAATATTAAATCATTTTTAAATCAGAGGAATTTTCACTAACCACACACGTGTTGCACCTTCAAATACTGTAATATCAAAACAGTGTTCTGAAATACACCTTAAATGTCAAATAACCAGAAAGCAATATAAACCAGATAGGATCCTTCGTACCACAACCCAGAGATGAGTGGAGAGATGTACAACGCTCCGGTTTTAGGCGATACCAACATCATGGCGCTAAATCGTTGCGGCGAGTCTGGAAGTAGGATATTGTGATCATCGCCTCCGTCGACAATACGAATCCCGTCGTAGCCGAGGTAAACGGGAACACGAACGCGTAGCTTGGCGGGCAGAGGGTTTTCCGCTACTCACCGCTGGTTCCCAAAGCAATCCTTAGAACGAGACCGGGAACTATAGAACTTCTCAAGACTTATTGGAAAAGCCTATTGTTGAAACATTTTTAAGACATTTTAAAAAAGTCAGTTCCAACTTGACACCCGTGTAGCACCTCAATTTTTATTAAATATTATTGGATCTTGATTTACTTTCAAAATTTATTCAAAATATAAAGTTGAGGCTAAATAAAAATCTCGCAGAATTTACGCAGTAAATAAAAATTGAATTGAAATTGTAGAATGTCCCAAATAAATTACATTCAAACTGAAATATTAATAAATTAGGTGTTGGGAACATTAAAGTAATTAATTAAATAAATAAAGTAAAATATTAACACTTAGAAATCGGAAATTCTGACCAAGCATATTTAGAAGTACTGGAAGTTGTCCAAAATTGTGTGCGCGCAAATTCGTCGCGCAGGACTCGGCGAGAGGGAGCGCAGGCGGATGGTAATGAGAGCGCTCGAGGCAGTCCCCGAGCTCGAAGCGCTCATTCTTCCTCGAGCCGGTCTCCTTTACTGATCTCTTGGAGCACCCCTCTCATCCATTTCCAACCTTCTTCATTTTCTATATTTATTTCTTTATCCTTCATTCTTTACTTTCTTACTTATCTCTTTTCTTATTTCTTCTCTACTTTTATAACTCTATTCCTTATTTTTCTACCTTCTAACTTTTTTATTTTTATCTTCCTGTCTGTCTTCTAGTTTCACTCTGTTCCCTCTCACTTTCCATTGTTCTTGTCTTACCTGTTCTATTCCTCTGACCGGGTCGAGCATATTCATTCGAGTAGTCATATAAGAGTAGTCACCATGTTAGCATAGCTAGACGTGTAGACCATGATGTCGGGGGTTGCCCTTCCGCCTCATCCGCTTAGCTTGCTCAGTGGTTGGTGGCCCAAGTTGTGGCCGCAACAGGACCTTATGGGTCTCCCGATGGGGGCCTTGAGCCCCCTTAGGGTATCTACGGCCATGGTCTTTCGTATAGTGAATCTAGCCAGGTGTCTAGCTCTCGCGTATTTAGTATAATTTGTTCGCTTTGCTAAAAACGCTTCAATATGTCGTTGACCCTTGAGCACTCGTGTGGGTAGAGACGATCCTATGTGTCAGTCGGGAGGTCGGAGGGGTAGTCCGTTGACTCTGGGTAAAGTCCTATTTGTGCTTGTGCTTGGGGGTCTCCTTCACTTGGGGTAGGTGCGGGTGCTATTGAGCACCTGCTAGTATAAAGTCACCCTCTGTCGGAGACATTTTGCGCGGGGATCGCAGCCATTCATCCCCGTTAAAAATGTCTCCAACAGTAATTAGTCTCCCAGGTAAACTAACGTAATTAAAAATAGTTAATACAATACTGATCAAGAAAATCAAACTAATGTAAAATATCAACACAAGCTAAAATTAATTTTTATTAATTGCTATAGTAATAATGTTTGATAAGTACAAATCGTTTTTCGTTGTAAGTCAATTATAGTATAACAAAATACCGTCCCTACAAAATTCATGACATGATCAATTATTGCTGATGTACCCAAGTGAAACTAATATATTAAGGATGCGTTCGACTTGAGCGCTTACACGATTTCAGTTCTCGGGCGTATGAACACTGTGTATATTTGTTCAAGTTGGATTCTGCGCCCTTCCGCTCAGGTTTCAATAGATCCGATAGATCGTTCGGTTTGGCGTTATAAGTAGTAATGGAAGCCAACATGACGGATATAAATCAAGCTATATTTTTTTTCATATAATAGAACAATTATTTGACGTAATTTATGATGATAATGATATTGATGATGATTATGAAATGTTCGTGGATCCCTTTCCATGTTTGGCTGCATTACTATGATGAAAATTAAAAAATTATTCTTTTGAATACTTGGAAAATGCTTTGATTACTTCATATTTTGTAATCATTATTAATAATATATAATAATATTTAATAATGCACAATTACTTTACAAGTAATACTTTCAGTTATGCAGCAATATGCAGTAATAATACAGTTTCATCCTCCTTTAATGTTATAAAAAAGTTGCTTAATTTTTGCGCAACGATGTTATGAATTAGTGCGCTTAAATGCTCATGCTCACACTGCCCTATCTCGATGGAAAAAGTGTCCATGAGCACGACCTAATGCGATCGAACACTGCCAAAAGTAACTTCTGTGAACACTCCCAGCACTATAAGTCGAACAGTATATGCAATGCTCACGAGCGATAAAAGCGTGAAAGCGCCCAAGTCGAATACATCCGAAGAAAATCCCAGAATACGTGATATAGAATCCGTTTATTATCTTGTCTCACCGTTACTTCACTTTCGTCTGGTAACAAACCTTACGCGAATAGGATGAGCCGGTCTCAATATCAGATCTGGTAGAAAGCGTGTCTCGCTAGGGCGATCGATTGCTTCTAAGTAGAAATTATGCAGCAGCAGACCTATAATAGCCTTCAGTTCCAGCATCGCAAACTTCTGGCCTGAAATTTCGTTGCAACTTCAATTTGTGAATTTGGTTAACGATGCTTCCGACCATAGCTTACAGGCATTAAGTATAGTCGCTGTGAATCCCACAAGGTTCGATAATACATTCTCTTACCAATACAATTACGAGGTCCCCCGCTGAACGGCAAATAGCAAAACGGATGTCGACCCTGTATCTTCTCTGGCAGAAATCTATCAGGATCAAACACCAAAGGATCAGGCCAAAAATTGGGATCCCTATGGAGATCAAAGGTATGTATATGCACCGATGTTCCAGCAGGTAGCAGATAATTCTCTATAATCATACATGCATGTGATTGCAATTAAACTCTAACAAAAAATGATCTTGCATGTCCGACTGGCAGCTTTACTACTTCCTTCAATACATACTTAATTGAAGATCTTCGGACAGTTTTCGGGACATGAATGGCACGCTGGGATAGAGACGCAGTGACTCCTTGATGCAACGATCAAGATAGGCGAACTGTTGGATTTCCGTTATCGTCACTTCTCCATCATTTTGTTTCAATATTTCATCGATCTCTTTCCTTGCCTTTTCCTGGATTTCGAAGAAATTGTATCAGTCGTATAGATGCTTGAAATTCATTATGCTAAAGGGGTTTTGTTTGGCGGGATGACCCGACGAATACATTCTCCCACAAGGAAAAGAAAAAAGTATAAATAAAGAGGTGGCTGCAGTAATTACTATGCTGTCAAGTTACCTGAATATCCTTATGCTCCGCAAGGAGTTGTATAATGAAACATATAGCCATCGACGTGGTGTCATGTCCCTGTAATAAACAGGTTTATTCGTATGAATCATTTACAGAAAAGCAATAAGAAGGTACATTAAGCTATGCAGAACTGTACTATACTGCGTGGTCGCTTCACTGAAAGCATGGAATATTTGAAGGATGTTATGACTACGATATTTTGTATCATTTTTCTAATGACTTATGTGTACGAATAACAAATAACCGAAGGTTATGGTATTTAGTATTCCGATAAAAAGTCCCACACAAAAAGAACGTTTATCAGTTTAGTGTACTTCGAATATGAAGGTGTCCACTTCTTCTCTGATACCAGCGAGGTCTATCTGACCAGTATTTCTGGATACTCCAATAAGAAGATCAAGCATTGACAATCTTTTACGTTGACCTGTGGAAATAGTAATTAAATAAGTAAGCAAACAAATAACTTATTAAGTAATTCATATTAGAAAGTGTAGTACTGTCTTTCACTTCGTTCCCGTCGATATTCTTCTTGTCAGTAGAAAACTGATTTAAATACTTCCCGCCGGTTGCATCGTGATATTGCTGTCGTATGTTTATTATCTGCAGTACGTGAGATATTATTGGCGTTAATAATACATACGGGACAAACAATAAATGAGTGGAAGGAAGAACATACTTTTAATGAAAATCCATGCAGTATATCAAGAACTTTTGTTTGCAGGCGGAAAGTCGGTGTGAATTTGTACAACCAGTCATTAAAAAGCCACGGATGAAAAACTCTATACATAATATAATAATTGAAGCTATTATAAGAAATTTATCATTTTAAACGATATTATTTTAAACGTCGTAAATATACCTTGACACAACAATTGCGCCCATTTTATGAACAGCAAATTGAAATTTTGTTTGAAAATCTTCATCCTCTTGTACGGGCGTACCCATTGCGGTTTCTAAAAATAGCTTTTGTTATTCGTGCCTTCGATTGATTTATTAATTTTATCAAATCAGTCTGTTACTATTACCGCATATTGAACTCAGTGTAACAGTGGTGATAAGCGGGACGATGTCTTTCACAGTTTCTTCACCTTCCGCTTTCAGCGAATTTACAAGTCCTTCTGCATGCTCGATAAATGTTTTAGAATATTCGGTCAAAATGTTGAAGTGAAAGGCTGGTGTAAGAATTCTTCGACGCTGTTGCCATTTACGTCCTGATAACGAAGAAAGATATTAAAATAATATATCATGCAACCAGTGCGTGAAGTGAACTTATTTTTCATGAAACGTGATCCCCGCAAACCGGCCGAGCCGGCGACGAGTCTTGTCGCAATCGCGCGAGTGAAAACAATAACGCTCGAGTTGCATGAGCCATTTTTTGCAGGGCTGTGAGTAAAGTTCATATGTAAAGTTCGATTTTCAGTGTGTAAACTGTGTTTTTCATATTTCAGTATAAAAAAAAAGTAGACTCTACAGACTGAAAATTGAACTTTACACGTGAACTTTGCTCACGGGCGTGGAAGAACAGTATTTTATCTATCTGGTACGCGTGAGTATAACACATAAGTGTGGAATTTGGTATACGAACCATCAGGCGAGTGCCAATCTTATATTCATTCTTACCAGTTAGATAAAACAGTGTTTGTAACAAATGTTAAAAAAAAAAACGCCGTCTGGCCTTTTTTTATGCGAGATGGCATAGTTAACCTGCTTTAAAAATATTGTTTAATAGGCTTCATAAATTTTAAAATAATTTTGAAATTCATTTGTCCAAAAAATAATATTTTATGGTGCCCTTTGGCGACACGTTGCAGGGTATTCTTTGAGCATTGGTTACAAAAATTATTTTATTTATATTAAACAAGAATTTATGTTAATATTGTAATTCCTGACTTTCGTACCTGTGCTTGTAAGGAGACCAGTGCCGAACCATGGCTGAAGGAACCTATATATCAAACTTTTTTCTATGTGCTTTGAGTTGGCGATGATGGCCTACGATGATAGGATTTGTCAGAATGAGTCCAAAGAAGTTTCAATACATGATCTGATCACATGCCGTTTTTTATTACCTCAATATCATCGGGATGACGAATATTTATCACTGAATGCGAGAATCTCCAAATTCTATAAATCGGATAATATTTTTCGTTCATGCCACGTACAACATGCCAGAGTTCTTCAAAAGGTACTACAAAGGCTAACAGATTTCCCAAAATTGGATATGCCTTAGGGCCTGGAATCTTGTTAATGAGTTTACCGTTTCCACTTTTATGTACTATTAAGTGATATGGAACTATAAGAATAATTATTAAAATCAATAAAGAGAGTACTACGTAGAGCAACATGTTTTTACTGAAATATAAAATGCGTGCTCTTAGGAAGTGAGTTCAATACGGACTGATACTGACTACGCTGCACAAGGCGAAGCAGTATGTAGATTGTCCTGTGCTCTTTCGTTTGTCACGTTATTATTAGCTTCGATCTTCGTTTTATTAAATATTATTATAAGTTGAAAGGTCATCAATAGCTGATGACCTCGATGTTCAAAGAAAAAGCGCGCGTAGATTCCAGACGGGACTTAAGTGAAACTTAAATGTTACCAAGGTATTATTAAATGAGAAAACTCAAATTTTACATTTAATTTTTTTGTAAACAATTTCATAAATAAAAAACATTTCAATCTTAATACATTTGAATGAAAATTCATGTATTAGTATCCATGGTATCTTTTAATTCGACAGCAGATATTATAGGCTTGTGGTAGCTAAAACAGAAACGAAAGTTTGTGAATTAATATTTTCTAAAAATCTACTAAAACAGCATCAATCGTGTTATCGAATCTTGTAGTTGGCATGTTTCTATCACTAGTAAACCTCGAATAAAATTCTTTTTATCAAAAGCCGAATCATAGGTAGCTCGAGGTTTTGCGAATTCGACGTTGAAGTCATACCTGAAAATCGTGGATAAAGTCCCCCAGTCTGTTTTGAGTAGCGCTGCCCCCGCCGCTACGTATGACAGTAGTATGTGATCTATGAATTCAATAATGTCATCAATTCTCTGATTCGGAGATATATAGATAGCAACTAGCAGTATACACTACCCACTTTCGACGCGAAATCTAGGTGAACAAATATCACTAATATTGCACATATCAACAGTCATTGTATCCATTTGACGTAGATTAACCCTCCGAGAACACATCTATTTTTTCATGCTTGAAGAACACTCTGGGTCAATCTGACCCCACGCGAACTTTGATCGTTCGCCATTTTAAAACGAGGTGCGCGATGGGCTTGAAAAAACTTCCAGATGTGCTTGAGACATTGACAAATCAATTAATATAAATAAAGAATGCCGTTATAATTATTAACATACTGAAAAAATCACAAAATTTTTTTTCGAAAAATTTATTTAGAAAAAAATTGTCGTTTTTTTTCATGTCGATATTTTTAGCTAAAAATTTATCTGTATACTTTTGAAATGTTGTAGAATTAAGAAAAAAAAAGGTACTTTATTCTACCTTAAAAAAAGTATAGTTATTTTGCTAGATAACGTAGATGGTTGTAAAGGTAAAAAAAATCGAACATTTTTTAGCCAAAATTTTTGAAAAATTTTTTTTGCATTACAATAATGCGCATCAATATTAAACTATTGGTTACTTTAATGATTTTTAATACTAATTGACTTATTTATTAATTTCCGCCCAAGTCATTACACATATGAAGACGATGTTCATCGCAAGGGGACGCAAGCAACCCCTCGCTTTTTCTTGTCATTGTGCTCAATCATTTTATATGCAGCTGACTTATCATCAACAATTAATACAATGTCCCTAGACTGACTTCGGACGCTTCTTAAACCCTACTGCGTACTGCGCTTTACAAAGCGAGCATCTTGAGGTATAGTTAGAACTCCAAACTATAAGTAGAGGGCGTCAAGCCCGTCGATTTTCAAAATGCCTTAAAAATATTTATGATCAAAATCGAGGTATGGGTCAAATTGACCCAGTGTATTCTCGAAGGGTTTATCAGCATATGCGGAGTAACGACAATTGATCTGTTCATTGAGTTTTGATAAATAGCAACACGACCATCCTTCCTATTTTCTCGTTTGAATGAGACGACGCAATCAAAATTAGGTACATCCACAGATAAAGAAACTCGGCCGAGTCTCGCGCCAAGTACAGGCAACCCGCCGTACAGAGCACGTCCCGTCGAGACTCTTTACTCATAGCATTACTTGTATGCACATGTTTCGATTCAAATATCTTATGAACGGCTATGCGAGAGAAAAAGTTATTGATACATTCAGTATAGGAATCGAGGGTTCTAAATTGATTGCCATAAAAATCAATGTGATTGATGTACGAGATCAAAGCGTATTGAGATGGCGAGCGAGATGATTTTATTTCAGGTCCGTCGTCGTCTTTGCACATCCATCTACTTTTTCACACGACGGATGTGCAATATTGGTGATATTTGTTCAGCTAGATTTCGCCTCGAAAATAGGCAGTTTATACTGCTGGTTGCTATGTATATATTGTCGAATCAGAGATTTGATGACATTATTGAATTGATCCATCACGTACTACTGTCCTACACATCGGCAGGGGCAGCGCTAGATGAATTTGAGTGGCCACTTCAACGTCGGCTTGGTAAAACCTCAAGCTCGACCCCTAATCGATTTTTTGGAAAAAGTATTTTCTTTAAGACTTTCTGGTGATAGAAGCATGCCAACTGTAAGATTCGGTACTACGATTGATGCTGTTTTCAGTAGATTTTTAGAAAATGTTAATTCAGAAACTTTCAATTCCTATTTCAGCTACCACAAGCCTATAGCACCTGTTGTCGAATTAGAAGATATTATGAAAGAGATTAAATTTAAAATTTGCGTTTTTTCATTCAGTACTACCCTTGCAACATTTAAATTTCACTTCAGTCGCGTGTGGATCCCACGCGCGCTTTTTGTTTGAACATCGAAGTCGTCAGCTACCAATACCTCTCTATTTAAAATAATATACAAGAGAGGGCTTGATGCTAATAGTAACGTCACAATCGAACGATCACAGGACATAATCTAAATACTGCTTCTCCTTGTGCACCGTAATCAGTATCAGTTCGTGTTCAACTCGCTTTTGAAGAGCACGCATTTCAGTAGTTCAGTAGAAAAATGCTACTCTACCTAGCACTCTATTTGTCGATTTTAATAATTATATTTGTAGTTGCAAATCACTTAAAAGTTCATAAAAGTAAGCATGGTAAACTCATTAACAAGATTCCAGGCCCTAGGGCGTATCCAATTGTGGGAAATTTGTTAGTATTTATAAGATCTTTGGAAGGAATTTGGCATGTTGTACATGACCTGAACGAGACATATTACCCGATTTATAAAATTTGGAGACTCTCGCATCCAATAATAAACATTCGTCATCCCGATGATATTGCGGTAAGAAATATCGCACGTGATCAGATAATGTATTGTAATTTCTTTCGACTCATCCTGGCAAATCGTATTATCGTAGGCCGTCATCACCAACTCAAAGCACATACAAAAGAGTATGGTATATAGGGCTCTTCAGCCATGGTTCGGCACTGGTCTCCTCACTAGCACAGGTACGAAAGTCAGGAATTAAAATATTAAAATCGTTCAGTATAAATAAAATAACTTTCTGCACGGACGTGAGTAAAATTTATATGTAAAGTTCGATTTTCAGTGCGTAAATTGTACTTTTTTTTCACGTGTAATAAGTTAGCCGGACACTTTTAATGTTTTTAATTTTTTTCTGTTCTAATCGCTTGGTGGTCGTTTGATGGTAATTGGTAGCATAATTAAAAGGTTTGGTAGTCAATAGTTTTTCTCGAATATTAAAAACAAATTTTAGCGAGAAGTTAGCCGGACATATTTTATTTATTAACCGATTTTCTTCGCTAAGGGGTTAAGCCGATGCGAAATTGTTTGGTGGTTACGAATAACTTAGTTAAAAGTTTTGATAGTCATTGATGCTGCCAAAAACCTTAAAATACTGTAAGGGCAATAGTGGTGGGGTAGGTCACACGATGACAATGAGTTGGCTGGACAAATATTTATTTTTTAACTAAGAACATACCGTGAGGTCTTAATCGACGTAGAATCCTTTGGTGCCTTCAAATCGACTAATTAAGAGGATTGATGATCATTACTTGTCTGCCAAAATTGTAAACGGTAATTAGGGCAATGCTAGTGGCTTTGGGACATTGGGTGTGTTCCGAAATCAGTTAGAGTAACTGGCAGTACTGCACTGACGTTCCATAAAGCTCCAGTGCTTTAATGGTGGTACTGTGTGTTACTGGTGGATTTGGTTGAAAGCAGTTGAAAGTGAAAAGATGGCATAAAATACAAATTTACAAACTCGACGCTATTGTCTGGTCGATCCCCACTAGCATTGTCCTAATATTCTTTTACAATTTTGGGCAGAACTAATGACACCAATACTTTTAACTAGTTCATTTTTAGCCACCAAACGATTCTACGTCGATTAGGATCTCACGGAATGTTATTCTTGAAAAATTAATATTTGTCCGGCCAACTCCTTGTCAACTCCGCCCACTGAAAATCGAACTTTACACATGAACTTTACTCACAGCCGTGCAAGAAATGGCTCATGCAATTCGAGCGTTACTGTTTTTCAGTGTTTCAAAAAAAATTCACCTCACGCCCTGGTTGCATGATATATTATTTTAATATCTTTCTTCGTTATCAGGTCATAAATGGCGTCAACGTCGAAGAATTCTTACACCAGCCTTTCATTTCAACATTTTACCCGAATATTCTAAAACATTTATCGAGCATGCGGAAGGACTTGTAAATTCGCTGAAAGCGGAAGGTGAAGAAACTGTGAAAGACATCGTCCCGCTTATCACCACTGTTACACTGAGTTCAATATGCGGTAATAGTAACAGACTGATTTGATAAAATTAATAAATCAATCGAAGGCACGAATAACAAAAGCTATTTTTAGAAACCGCAATGGGTACGCCCGTACAAGAGGATGAAGATTTTCAGACAAAATTTCAATTTGCTGTTCATAAAATGAGCGCAATTGCCGTGTTCAGGTATATTTATGAGATTTAAAAAAATATCGTTTAAAACGATCAATTTCTTATAATAGCTTCAATTATCATGTTATGTATAGAGTTACTCATCCGTATCTATTTTCTGACTGGTTGTACAAATTCACACCGACTTTCCGCCTGCAAACAAAAGTT